GTTTTGTACTGGGCTATTACAGAGATTAATTAAACAGTCATGGATGTCCAGCCAATGCCACTTGGCCTCCACATAGCCTAAAAATAGATTATGGTACTGTTTAATTTGCTCATAGAGATTTAGCATCTTTATTAGATTTGGTGATCTCCTCTCCACCCATAAATGAATGGCTTTAGAGAAGTGGAACTTAAAGTCCAGATTGTGGGCAATGAGTGGGCATTGCATGATTTTCTTGAGCTTGCAATAAGCATAGTTAGCTAATGTGAGGCAACCAAGACGTAGGAAGAGAAGAAAAAATGAAAAGTGTCTCCTCTGAAACACTGGTGGGGCAGGACAGGTTATACATTTCATGCAGGAAAAAAACCACTCCACCATCCTGGGAAACTTCTGGTTTGATTCTTTTCAGGGTGGAGAGATCATCATCAAGTGTTGAAGCATTATTGATAGTTTTTGGCTCAACAGAGTGTATTTTTACAGAGTGGAAAACTTTTTCCACTTAGGAAAATCTTAATATTTTCCCCCTGAGAAACACAGAACACATGTCATTGACATTGACTTTAAGTGTGTTTACACATGGTCTTCTAGTCTGCATTTCAAACACTGTTCATTCTATTCACTACCAGACATCAGAGATGCTCATTCCTGAGTGAATGCAATTCTCTGCTCTCAAGAGATAAGCACAGAATAAAAATACTGGTATTACCTGAAAAAAAAAAAAAAGAGAGACATGTACTTTACATTGCAAGGATTTATAAGAATAAAATAGAACAATGCAAATCTCAGATCAAATGATAAAATGATCCCATAATGTTTTCAGCTAGATAAATTTTTCTCCTCTTAATGATTCAACTGGATTTGGGCCAGTTGAACTGCCCATACAAGGAAAAGGACTTTGGTCCCATCCAAAATTTAATTTTAATGCAGTTGAGTGGACCGCAATTGGACATAATATGAGTATTTTTAACAAATACTGATTATACAAGCAGGTTTCCTTTTCAGATATATTTATAAGCTTTTATGTTGTTAAATTTTTTGTGTTTGAAAGCACCATGCAGGGACACAATAAAAGACTAACATATGAATGGTTTTGATAAATTACTCTAGTTTGCAGGAAATGCAGTACAATGGCACAGCAACATCACTTCAAAAAGCTTATTTATAATGAGACAAATACCAATCCCTCCAGCTCCAGGATTAAAATGAAAAAGTAAAGTAATGTGAAACTTCCCTGCCTGAATTGTATCTCTGCTTGGCTTCTGACACTTCATTATTATATTTATTTTCATTGTGATGTCATGAAGGAAATTAGGTGATAAATTAGGGTCCTATTTGTGGTAGGTACTATATAAACAGCAACAAGAAGGAAATCCTTGACCTAAGGGCTTTTAAGAAAGGACAAGAGACCACGCAGAATCAAAAGGGCAAGAAGATATCGAGGCTAATCTTGTTAGAATGGTAGGCTACTTTCCAGTGGCTGCCTAAGGTTTGGGGTTTTCTTTTCAGTATTTTTTTAAGATCATCACAAAAAGTACTCTAAAAAAAGAACTAGGAAAGCAAAGGAAGGACAGCGTAGGTGTAGTAAAGGAGCACCTTGTTTCAAAATCAATTCTGTGGAGGGAAACAGCATTGTGGATGCAGCAGAAACAGGAGTAGAGCTTTCCATTCTAATTTGGAGCTCAGAAATACTTTTAGAAAGTCTTTGAAAACAATGGTTAGGAGAAGCAGATAAAATAGATTGGAGTTTAGAAGGTAGTAAAATGTTATACCTCTGGAGAAAAAGGATATTCTTTTCATGAATTTATTTTGGGATTGTGTAGAAGGGAGGAGATTGCTTTAAAATGGAAATAAACACTATACAAAAAATAACCCCATCTGCTGAAGGAGAGTGAGCAAGTTTGGACTTGTATCTGTTGTCAGAAACTACAGGTTCAAAGACAGGAAGGGTTTCCCAAGTTGGGGTCCCTTTGTCAGCAGTGATAATGATAGAGGATATAGGAAGATGGAGTTTACATAAAGGCTTTTAATTAAAACCAAATGCATATTTATAATTTTTCCTGAACTTCATGGTAACCTATAATTTGCTCTTTTTTCATCTGTGGAATAAAAGAAATGATGAATTTACTTATTATTTTGACTAATTTACATCGCTAATCTACTTTACTGACATTGTTTTTATTGATGGAAAATATGGTTTTTGTAATTTGAATGGCTGATGGTATGTTTCAGCCTTACACTGGCTTTATACAAATAAAGAGGTTGGGTTTTCACTTTGGGAGCACTTCTCATTACACTCAGTTTATATTTAATTTTATCTGTAACCTGTTTCTTTTCACTTTATAGCTTTTTAAAGATATAACAAGATGACTGTTTTTGTAAAACACACTGCATTTTTCTTCCCATTGCCACTGAGTACTGTGAAGGGCTGAGTCCCAGGAAGAGTGCCACCCTATAGTCAGTAAAGCAGTGAGTAGAATAAAAGGAGGGGTTTTTTTTTGCACTAAACTCAGCTGTTTCGTGAAAAAGTGCACTCTGCTCCAATGTCTTTCCACTTGGAGAAAGTTATGGCTCAGGGAAAAGCATACTATTTACTGAAACAGCAAGATATGCCAAAGGACAAATATATGTGTCATCTTCTGCTAAGGTAAAGACTTCTGAAAAAGTCTTCCATTTAGATTACTTAGGCAAATTTGCTTCTAAAACAATTATTTATGACATGGTCATTTACTTGGGTGATAGGACTGTGGTCAAAATATTTAGAAGCAAAGAAATGGAAAAGGAGACGAAAAAATCTGTACTACAAAATATTATTTTTATCCAATGTCCTCCCCCTACCCCAAAATCCCCAAGCCAGCTTTTTCCTAAGAATGCAGACTTTTTAAAAAATTAGCAGATGTAAGGACTTGACATCCGCAATGTAAGGACTTGACATCACCTCAAAAATATGTCTTTATGTAATGAAATAAATGCAGACAGCAATAGAAAACAATTATTGAATATTAAGGTCACAGTTTGTGCTGGGGAGTATCCATGCTTTGTGCCGAAACCTCGGTCCTTCCTATGGCAGTACAAAGGCTTTCTTTACACCTTGGTGTCCAGGGAGTTTCTCACTGTGTGATAGCAAAAATGGAAAACAACAAAGACAGTTTGCTGAGTTTTGTCTACTCCATGATAGGGGTGAAAATACAGTAAAAATTCTCTCTCTGAATTTAGAGAGGACATGAACATTAACAGCCATTATTTTTAATCATTTCATGATCAAACAATTTATCACAAACCTGAGAAAGAGGACCCTAAGGCACATTTTGACTCGCATATTCTCTGAAGTAAAGGTTTCCTTGGGTACCATGACAGTATCCCTGCTCCAGATGTTTTCATGGCATAGATCTGCTCAAGGTGTTGAGGGACTATGAACTACCTGTCAGGACCTGCAAATTAGCCCTAAGGGGCGTTTGGGACCACAGCTCCATTTATCAGCATTCCCTTCAGCAACCACATTATATCTGGGTATAAACTAATCCTTGGTAAGTATTTAGACACTTGCTCATACCTGTACATATTTATACGTATAATCTTTACGGATGTTTATCTATCTACATGCATGGATATGGAATTTTATCACAAAGTAGAGGCATCTAACTTACTGTTCTCCTTAATCTAAACTCATTGTGTTTAGATTAAGAACAGAGAACAACACAAGCACTCTAGAGGGTGATTTAATAAACCTAAAATCTGAATCACTCTTTGAAAGTGCTTCTCCACGGACTACAAACACGTGAGGATGAACAAAGTGTGAACAAAGTTATGTACCTGGAGTCTGAATCTCTCCTGATTCCCCTTATCCTGTTAAACTTTTCTTTAAATATTAAAGAAGAATAATTTTTTCCATTTCTCAAAACTTCTGCTCTTTCAGAAAAAATCACAGCCATCCCAAATCAAATGGAAAGTAGAAACAAAAAATTTAATGGAGTTAAAAGTAATCCCATGAGTTTCCATACTTCCACAGCTTAGACAAAATGTTTTGCTTAACCTTTGTTTAAGGTTTAGTTTTTAATAAAAACAATAAAGCATAATTTACTTACATTTTAAAAAAAATAAAATAAATTAAAAGTCTAACTGGGACTTTAAGGTATCCTCGAAATATTTTTCTCAAATTATATTTGTCCTTATAACATATAAATTTTCTTGTGGAAATTTTAACTTTGTATCACCTCCTGTAATGATTTTATTTAATAAAAGAATTCCTGACCAAAGTCTACTTCAGTTCATTTATTTTACTTTGGTCTAGAGTGATATTTCCCTTCTCTGCAAATCTTCCTGTTTCCATTGCATGGGCTATGAAATTATCAGTTCCACAAAGGTTTATATGCAATCATACATTATGAGACAGTTTTCCAAAATGCAGTGTAGAGCAGCAGCTTCCAGCTATTGATGTGGAAATGTTTACTTTATGTAAGAGTTTAATACTTTCTGCACAAGCCGTTGGGAGTCATATATGCCTGACTTGATGAAGATGCATATATTCCTCTGAGGGGGACTGGGATTTCCTAGAGTGGGGAAGTTGTGGTGGCAGCAAGAGAGAGCCCTGGGCTTCAGGAGCTGAGGAAAGAAGGAAGGAAACACTAAGCGTGCATGTTCTGGTACACACGGAGTATGGATTTTGGATATGGAGTATGGACATTTGGAGATTTTCTGGGGATATTTGGAAAAGCAGAGGGTAGAGCCATGACTGATTCTTCACTTGCACCACAATGGCACAGAATGGGCACCTACAGTCATGGGTTGTATCCAGGGCTCCTCCTCTGATGAGTGTATACAAAAAAAGGTAGAGATTTAGAGAAGGCAAGTTAAAGAAACATTACAATCCCCTTGGCATTTCAAATAAGAAAAAAAACCAAAACACCTCATGACATTATTTTAATCAAAGATATGAAGTAAGCTTGTGTATTGCATGATGAATTTGAGTACCTTTTAATCTGCATCTGCATTTTGCTCAATTTCAGGTACAAAGCAATTGTAAATCCCATGGACATCCAGACCTCCAGTGCAGTGCTGTGGACTTGTCTTAAAGCCACTGCCATCTGGGTAATCTCCATGCTCCTAGCAGTTCCTGAAGCAGTGTTCTCCCAGTATCTACTACTATCATATTGCAAAGAGCTTAATAAAAAGTGCTCACAACATCCCTGGGGAACACAGTGAGCATTCCAAAAGACAGGTAAGCAAATTGCTTTTTACATCCTGGTAAAAGATTTGTGTGCTGTATACACTTATAAATGAAAGTCAAGGGATTATAACATCCAACTTGTTGGATTTTGCAGAGAATTAGTTCAGTTTCCGCATGAAATAAACCAAGGATTATCTCAAAATTTTACTTATTTTCACAATTTCTCAATATTAAGCCCAGTATGTAAATGGATATGAACAAGGAAAATTATAAATTCACTCCCATGAATGCACATTCATAACAGCAAATGACATGAATGCACATTCATAACAGCAAATGAGATAGGTATATAAGTTTGTATGTGCTGTTACTGTACCCATTACTTATATTCTTACTGAGGAATGATGTTTTTGTAGTTAATGATGGTGGCTTCACCTGTCTCTATAGGCAGTCATTTCAGGAAAGAAATCTTACATTAATGCTTTGAGAATCGTCCCTTTTTATTTGTGTTTGGAAATGAGAAAACTGACACAGGCAAGGAAAACTTTACTTAGGGGATTTAAGGTTCTTCTCAGATGAAGGAGTGCTGAAAATGTGAACACAGAGCAGTAGCTGATTTTTTTGTTACTTTCTAAGATTACAATACTGAACAGGCACTTTTCTAATATCCTTTCTGTAAAGAGATGCTATAAAATTCTTGGTATAGATTCTGTATATCTTTGAGACAAAACATTTTAAAATGCTGGACAAAGCCAATCTTTCTTGGAAGTCAGAGGAAGCAATAAGATAGTAACATCAGCATGAACACACATATGTACAAACAACAGCTTTTGCAGTGAAAGTGCCTCAGCTAGTTTACAAAAAAGCATTAGTATTGACAGAGAAAAATACACCCATTTAAACAGTTTTGAATTATTTTCTCTGCCAGTAATTTAGAAAACTACTTTCCTACTCACAGAAATCTCTTCACATGTACACATTCCTTTAGAAAGCCTACGTTCCTTTACATCCTTTTTGAGCAGCATTTCATTTCTACTCTAGTCTGTTTCTTGTCAAAAGTGCATACCTATTAGCACTTCATGTATTATTTTATTTTCCTGTGAAATATAGAGGGCCTTTTGGCTGAACCCTCTGGATGGAAACAATATTTAATTTATACCACATTTCTGAACTCATACGTATTTTTAAAGTAAGAACACATTTTTTCATTCTACTTAGTTTTTTTTTTTCTCTTTGTTAATCTATGAGGCTCAGAAGGATAGAAAATTCTGGTGTACTTACATATCTCCCAGCAAGGGGAAATAAATTCAGACTATTGCTATCAGCTCATGTTTCTTTAGGCCAAGTGTAATATTCACATTATACTTCTGTACCTTTTAGTCTGCTCTTGCAATCTGTCTGAGTGCAAATGCTACAAAATTTGAATGTTAGAGTTTTCCCATCTTTTTTTGATTTCCCCACTGTTTTTTGTTTAGATAGACCCAAGAAAACTATTTAAAGATTAATTTCACAGATTTTGAAAAACTGTTAGAATAAATTCACTTGATTTTTGGTTGGATTTTTTTTTCCCCAGAAAACTGAGCAGAGTAGAAAACTTTCCTTCCTGTGCAAAACTTTCATGCCTGATATACATAATAAATCCTTTAGTAGGAATATGGGGACACTTTTTGCCTACCTCTTTGGTGCCTTCTGCCTGACCAGTTTATCTCCCTCTGTCAGTTTGGAACCGCTGTGTAGGCTCATATCCTGCCATCTTTTCAGCCACTCTCAGTATCTACAATGCAGTCTGTTATACATTAGCACTGCAATTAAGGCACATTTTGTGATGTTACTGCAATTAATGAAACCTTTTACCTTAGCCTGAAATTAAAATGCTTCAGATGATGTAATGTAATTTTGGTGGTTTCCCTAGGAGAAAGGTGCAAGCTGAGACCCTCAGTGAAAAACAACGGGATAGAAGTACCACTGTATAGCTAACCCTAGTAATGTCTATCTCATTATATCTCTAGATTTTGAAGCCAACAGTTTCCAAATAGCTTTTTGACTAAGGGCTTAAAACTTAAGTTTTGAGCCAAGCGCTGAGATCTTGTCAGAAGAGGTTACATTTCATGACATCCTTTGGTGCGTGTTTACAGGCTACAAACCAGTGTTTCCTTGGGCCATGAATCACTCTTGCTGTGTGTATCATATAGAGAGAGCAACCTTCTGTAAACTGCAAACAGCTAAGAAAGTTCACTGAAAGAAAAATGCAAGAGGAAAAGGAAAGTAAATGAGATGGCAAAAGTAATTCAGGTCTTAAAGGAAGCATTTTTGCTGGCCTTACTCATGACAATTGTTGAAGCTAATATAAAGCAAAATGCTACATATTTTAATTAAATCTGTTATGTGGGGTTGTTCTATTTGTTGTTGTTCATTTGAGTTCTCTTCATCTTTTTAGATGGAAACTCGGAAGCGTCTGGCAAAAATTGTTTTAGTTTTTGTTGGCTTCTTTGCTATCTGCTGGTTTCCTAACCACGTGCTATACATGTACAGATCTTTTCATTACAATAAGATTGATCCATCGATGGGACATATGGTTGTTACCTTAGTGGCCCGAGTGCTAAGCTTCTGCAACTCTTGTGTCAACCCATTTGCACTGTATTTTCTCAGTGAGAGTTTTAGAAGACATTTCAACAACCAGCTTCGCTGCAGGAAGAAAGCTCAGAAAGAGAGATCTGCCAGCTACTTGGGCAACACTTCTGCCATTCAAATGACTTCCCTGAAAAGTAATACCAGGAACACAGTAACTACCATGACACAACTGAATGGGCACCACTTGAAACAAGAAATGTCATTATGATATAATGAGTGTGATTTTTGACTGTGAAACAAATCTGAACTTTTCCTTTGCAGCTTGTAACTCACTTTTGGCTCTCATTCTTAGACAGTCCTCAGAAGAGAGGATCTGTTAAATTCTGGCCAATCTGAGGTTACTTCACACTGTCTGACTCTTAGATAGAAGTGAAGAGTGTGTTTTACTGAAAAAACAAAACGGACTGGCATCATATTGTACTTTAAAGGAGATGCTGATACATGTTTAACATAAAGGAAAGCAGTGTATCTGATAAAACATTGCTTTAAAAAATATAGATCTTCTGATCTGAAAATATGTATTTTTAACTGAATATTGATCCAGGCTTATGTTTTGCTTTAATAGATTGTGCATGATTTTAGCTCTGTGGTGTGTGCTAGCTTTGCTGATTAAGACTGTTAGACTTTTGGATTCAATTAAACTTTTATTTTTAATTTATTTTTTCTATAATCAGCTCTCATGTCAGCACAGGTAGTCTGACTGAAGCTTATTGCTGCTACTTATACAAGGCTGCTCATATAAAAGTTTGAAGGGGGGGTGTCAGAGCTCTATCCCCCCTTACACAATGGCATAGAATCTGACAAATAATCATTCCCAAGCCAGGTGAGAGGTTAGCTTTTGTGTCTGAGCTCCAGAGAGAAGATGCTCACAGTGTCTTTCTTAGAAGGAGCAGTAATAGCAGACAAAGGCACCTTGTGGAATATTGGAGGTTAATTTTTCACAAATGGGACGGGACCCCCGGGTGATGTGTCACGAGCTTTTATTTTGGACACCAGTCTCAGTTACAGTCACAGGAGATGGCACAAGCTCACTTCTGCACGAGCAGCCAGAGATCTCTGTTACAGAACATTTTAAAAGTTTTTCAGCCAATAGCATATTGCTAAAGCTTACAGACAATTGTTCTATCCAATCACTAAAAGCACACGTAAACCTTCTTCAAACAATGCTTGCTTGTTTATTTTCTATTAACAATAGAATACACAATAACAATACACAATACTCTGTTATTAAGCTTAAAACCTTCTACTATCTTGGTAAGCATATTTTTCTGCAGCCTTATGGTCTATCTTAGCCAAGCTTAAAAACTCAACTATTGTTTCATGTCCTTGCATATTGTATTATTTTGTCTTCTTTACTTTCAGGCTTTGCAGCTGCAGCTAGCTCTAAGTTCTCTGCTTTTTCTTTTCTGAGGCCTGTTTTCACAGCTTATGAAAGTCTTCTTACTTTTACTGTTTCCCACAGTGGAAGTAGTTTTTTATGGCCAGTTCATGAGCCAAATGTAATTTTAGGTATGTTTTTCTTTACAGTTGGATGGAACTGCTCCAGCACAGATCTGTCTCTGTCACAACACTGTATCCTGTACTTCAGCAGTGACTTCTCTAAGGTGAATACTAGAGAGTACACTAGAAATTTAGACTGGATTTTGCAATTAGTTTCTAGTCTTACAATTTCAAAAGCTGGAGTGCTAATGCAGTGTATCAGTTCATTTTTCTCTTTGTCCTTAATAATGCACTTGTTCTTATTTGGTTCTGTTTGTAACTCTGTGAACCACCTGAAGTTCAAAATTTCTTTCTCAATTCCTCTCTCTTCAAGACTAGTTATAACCCTACCCCAATTTTTAAAGCAGTGAGAAGCTACATTAACGTAACCTGTAAGTTGTCTAGCTATTTATCTGAAAAAAAGAAAAACAAATATCCCCAGTTGCAACTACTCAACAGGGAAAGTTGATTGAAGTTCGTGATGTCAACCAGCATGGTCCAGCTGGTGAGATCTGTAGGAGGATGTAGTTAAATATGTGTGCATCTTTCAAATGAGAGAACTTTTTAAGTTCAGTTTACAGCAGCTCCATATGGCCTACCCTACCTAGCTGGTTGCTGTTGCCCTGTGCCTTCAGTGGCTCATTAGAAGTCTTTATACAAAGGAGCTGATTAACATGAACCTGTAAATCTATGTGGAATGGTTTAGCAAATTGTCATTTTGTCACAGTTTAGGAATGGAATTCCCCAATTTAGTGTTCCCACTGAACCACTCCATGTGCCACTGTCTCACTCCACACTTCCCTCTCTCCCTCCCCCCACAGTGAGATGGAGAGGAGAAATCAGAGGCACAAAAGGTGGGTTAAGATGATAACAATTTACTAGAAACAGCAATGAAATAAGCAACAAACAGTAGCAGCAACAATATTAATAGCATAGTGTTATTAAAATTCATAACAAGTGAAGGGTTGACATGCAAGCACTCATCACAGGGATCTTGCTACCTGGATCACACACTTCACCATCAGCCTGACTGGAAGGACCCATCCTTCCCCCGCTCCCTGCTTTGGCATGAGGTGGTACAGAGTAACCCTGGGGTCCTGGTCATGTCCCTCCTGGCTACTGCAGAAATGAACCCTTTTCTGGCTGGAACCAGGACACATTCATAATTGCCTAACACTGCCTCATCCTCTTTTTTCTTCATTTTGCCTCTTCTCTTTCTTCTTGCCCTAGTTTTGTGTGAGCCCACATGTTCTCAGAACTACTTTTTAATTTTATATCACCAATTCTTCCTGGATGCCAGAAAAAGTTTTGGATTCTGCTCTTCTGATCAGCCTCAAATCTTTTTCACTCACAAATATTGTACACCTGCAAAGCACTAAAGTATTCCTTTGTCAATTCTTGATGCTTATCATTGACTGTGACCAAGTTTTCTGTTTATTCCTGCTGGGGTTTTTGTGGTTCCCTGCTCCTCATTTTGTTTGACAATCTTTCTACACTGGATAGCCTTTCACAGACCTTCTAAATCCATGGTGGTTTTTATTTTCAAAATGAATTTTTCTGATGTGGACATTACCAGATGATACAGGTGGCCTACTGGAAAAATAATAACCTAATTTGTAGCAGATTTGATGCTTCTGCTTGATTCATGCTCTCCACTCAATGTCTTAAATTGTTGTGTGTGGTATAGACAGAATGAGCCAGCTTTCTGGCAGAACAGAAAGCTACAGTCTGTTCCTTTTTGTTGTGAAGGGAAGGTGTTCCAAGGCAGACTATAACTCCTTGTCAGGAAATCAGCACAGTTTTGCTTCATTATTTCCCAGACCTAATATTCAAAGTCTGTTTCAAGTAAGTAAGCTAAACTGTATATAGCTCCTTTCAAATTTTAATAGCATGGTGTGGGGGAATTAGTTAATCTGTCTGGAGCTCTACTAGGTGTGTTGCTAACCCAAAATGCATGTTTTGGAAGTGTCTGTTACTGTGCTTCTGTACACATTGTATATAAGCTGTATGTATAAAGCTATTTTCAGACAACTCTGCTTGCTAGCAATTAAAATGATTGTAGAATGCATTTTATGAAGTATTTTCTTCTAACTGTAGTCAAAGAAACAAAGGAAATCTATAAATAAGATCATGTCAGCTTTTCATATTCATCATTGAGATCTATGCCAAAATAGTTTTAAAATGCCATGTTTTTTTCTGTTATGAAAATTTTCTTATTTCAGAAACATCAGTTCTGTTCTATTCTGTTCCTCTCCTGAGTTTTGAGATCGTTTCTTTCAAAAGTATTTTTGCAACGATTGAGAAAACTACCATCCCTTCTTAACCTTTGAAAAATGAAAGAATAGAGGTAATTACTGTTTACTCAGTGTAACACATTTGGGTTTTTTTGTAGACTAGAGCTAGTACAACATAAGTCTGATAGCATCTTCTCACTCCACCTTGTCAGTACTAGAAATATTACACACACTGCTGAATCCTGAAATGTCTGTATGGTTAAATTCTCAACTGACCTGAGATATCTCATTTAGCATTACACTGTGATGTGATAATTATCTTCAACAAAGTAACTTCACTTACATTACAGGACAAATCTTTACCACACACCTGCCCCAGAGATATTTTTTTAACTCAGTCAAGGCAGATTCACAGAAACTACGGCCCAGGAATTAGCAGGGCTGATTGAGAGGTCTTAAATGATGCTCAAAGGGGAAAGGGATAAGACCAGGCTACTAGAGATCAGTCTAGGTGTTAGCAGGCTTGTGATGAGGGAAGGACCCTTAGCCCAGATGAAGTGCATCTACACCAAGAGTAGATCTACAGCTAGATCTACATCTGCACACAGAGTGGGCAGCAAGCACAAGGAGTTGGAAGCCCTTGTACAACAGGAAAGTTATGTATCTGCTATCATGGAAAGATGATGGGATGACTCTCATGACTGGAGTGCTGCAATGGATACCGATAAGCCCTTTAGAAGACCCAGGCCAAGCAGGAGAGGCGGTGGAGTGGAACTGCATCTGCCTGTGGGTAAAGATCAGGGGGAAGGTCAGCAGGCTGGGTATCATGGTGGTGGGATTCTGTTATATTCTACCCAACCAGGACAGCCAGACAGAGGAGGCATTCTACAAGCAGCTGTCTGAAGTCTCATGGTTGCCGATCCTTGTATTCATGGGTGACTTCAACTTGCCAGATGTTGAAGTAAGGTCTGGCGCTTGGAAGATATCGGAATGTAACGGAAAGATAGTAACCCCCCCTCCTCATTGGTATGGTAATGACTCCTGCAATTAGCCAATAGCACCTAGCTGTGATGAAAGCAGATGGGAGTAACATAGTGACCCTAGGTTATAAAATGTCAAATTCTCCAGCAATAAACGCCATTTTCGCCATCCATCACATTGATGTCTGTGGGTTATGGACTGAGTGGCCAAGGGGGACTACCGTGCTGTTCCTTGAACCAGGGTGTTTGCCTTGCTTAAAAGGCAACAGCCAGATTCTTCTGGAAACACAATGCAGCAAAGAGGAAACAATCTAGGAAGTTCCTGGAATGTGTGGAAGACAACTTCCTAACACAACTGGTAAATGAGCCTATCAGAGAAGGTGTCCTGCTAGACCTGCTGTTTGTGAACACAGGACTGGCTGGTGATTTGGTAGTCAATGGTTATCTTGGGCATTGTGGCCAGGAAATGTTAGAGTTTCAGTATTGGGTGAAATAAGGAGAGGTACCAGCTGAACTTCCACCTTGGACTTCCAGTGAGCAGATTTTTGGACTGTTTAGGACACTGATTGACAGAGTCCCTTGGTAGATAGTTGTGAAATGTAAAGGAGTTTAAAAAGGCTGGAAGTGCTTTAGAAAGGAATTGTTAAATATTCAGGACCAGGTTGCCCCCAAGTGTAGAAAGACAAGTTTTCAGGAAAATATACCAGCCTGATTAAACGGAGAATTTAAGCTGGAATTTAGGGAAAAAAAGAGAATCTATCATCTCTGAAAGGAGGGTCAGGTAACTTGCAAGGAATATAAGTATATTGCAAGGTCATGTAGGGAGAAGATTGGAAAAGCCAAACTAGAATTTGAATATATTTTGAGATGTGAAAGTCTGGAGTTAAAACTAAGGGTAGATAATCCCAAGACAGTGCAATATAATCAATATGATCGAAAACCATTGCAATTCTAGTACTCTTACTTTTGAACATCCCAATGTCTGCAACTAAATGTTGCTGAGTACCCATCAGCTTTGCCTGTCTGAGAGCAGATTTACTTAACCTTTTTAACTGTGCACACATTTCAGAAAAGCACAACATAGCTTTAGGGGGGGCTCATGATTCTACAGCAGCTCTCCAATCTGATTCTGTGGCTGCAGAGAATGGAGCTGTCAGCAGCAGAGGAGGTATCTATATCTCTGTAGAAGAGAATACCAGCAATGGCAAATATAATATCTTTCACTGTGCACTAGCCTCTGTTAAATGCTTCTATGTCTACACACTGTTTGCTTTCTTTTCTTCTGAGGGCAAAAGCTGATGCATCCAACACATTTCATTATTATCACTTTCATACTGATACATC